TTAAATTACAAGACGACATCCAGAAATATCAGAACGAATTAATTCATTTTAAAAAACAAAAATTAACTAAGGTTAATCATGATTATACACACCACCAAGTGTATAGATGGCTCAGCGGTATGGATACCACCACTAGGAATATTCTTCCTAGATTTAGACCCCGCATTACCAGACCTTCCTCGCACACGATTGACATCAGCTTGGGGGAATCAGCCTCGGATGCTGAACCTAAAGATACCAGACCACAGTCCAGAACTGAACCTTTTTTAGATATTGGCACTCATCATCAAGACCCCCCAGGTATGGGCATGGGTATGGAATCCAGCGGACTAAGAAAAAGAGACCCCCCAGGCGAGGGAAAAAGGGTCACCAGATATGCCAACACCGCCGCCAAACCTCCATCACAGAGGAAACGTCAGTAGTCTTTAATCTATCTAATAAACTACTAACAGAAGCCCATCTCAGCCTTTTAAGCAAGGGTCTTACTTTTATCCCTGTTAAAAAACCACAGGCATTCTCAGTTGAAATCGATATGTACAAGTTACAACGCACTCTATATGCCAATGAGTACAGGAAAGAAGATCCTACATATCAACCAAACCCTTTTATTACCAAGGAGAAAAAGGATATCAAATCAAATAACATGACCATTAAAACCTATGTACAGACCATACATAAGGATGCGCTGAAGATCATAAAAACTCCACCGAAACATAGACCCAATTTAACTTTGGATGAAAAGGCTGCACTTCAGGATCTCCGTGATGATGCGAACATAGTAATTCGCCCTGCTGATAAAGGCGGAGGCGTTGTGATTCAATCATACCAGCAATACAAGTGTGAAATTATGCGACAGCTGAATGACAATTCAACGTATCGAAAACTCACTTATGATCCTGTGCTGGCATTTCAAAACAAGATCCAACAACTTATTGATATGGGCCTCCAAGCTGGATATATTGATTCTAACACAGCTAAATATCTTTTGGTGATTCACCCTATACATCCAGTTCTTTACACCTTGCCCAAGATCCACAAATCCAGCCATAACCCCCCAGGCAGACCCATAGTCTCGGCAAGGGGTGGTCTGTTAGAACCCATTGCCAAATACGTGGACTATCATCTACAAGACAGCGTCAAAGAGTTACCATTCTGTCTTAAAGACACCCAAGATCTTTTAAGCCAACTTAGAGAACTAGGACATGATATTCAGCGTGAATTCATATTTGCCACTCTGGACGTTCAGAATTTATACACCGCAATACCACAAGCCGAAGGTATTGAAGCTGTTCGTATCACCTTGTCCAAATGCACAGCGTATAAAGGTCCCCCTATTGAATGTATTTTGGAACTACTCACTATGTGTCCATTTCTGACAGTGACTCCCTCCCTCTCCCAGTCACGTGTGGTGTTCCCCAGGGTTCCATTCAATTTACATTATTTATAAATGATCTGCCTAATGTCTGCCAATCCTCAAATGTACACATGTACGCAGATGACACGGTAATCTATGCGAGCAAATCCAATCTACCTCAACTTGAGGCTTTGCTCCAAGACCAGTTTACAGAGGTAGAAAAGTGGATCGCAAAAAACAAACTCTTCCTGAACACTGACAAAACTGTCACAATGATCTTTGGAACAGTACCTAAATTACACAAATTACACACTCCCCACCTATCCATCAAAACAAATTCAAATGGCACACTGACCGCAGTCCACTCTTTCAAATACTTGGGTATGATATTAGACCCCAATCTATCTTTTGGCCTGCACATAGAAAAGCTTGCATCTAAACTTTATCCAAAATTAGGTGCCCTGTACAGAAACAAATCCTGCCTAAGCCCTACAGTAAAGGAAAAGATTGTACAACAAATGCTGATGCCAATCATTGATTATGGGGATGTAGTATATGCGTCTGCATCGCGATCCCACATTAATAAACTCAACACATTGTATAACTCGTTCTGCCGATTTGTGCTACAATGTAATTACAGGACCCATCATTGTGACATGCTAAAGGAACTAAACTGGCTGTCGCTGGAATCCAGACGCACACTTCATCTTTCCAGCCTTGTTTTTAAGAGCTTTTCTGGGAAACTCCCACCCTACCTGAACAAAATGCTTTCCCCAGCTGTTCCCACTTTCTATAACCTCCGATCCAGTACAAGCACTTTACTTAGTCTACCTCAATACAAAAAGAAAGCGGCCTGATCCTCCTTCTCCTACAGAGCACCGCAATTGTGGAACGACCTCCCGCACAATTTTAAAATCTTCCCTAAGCCTAAAGTCTTTTAAGAGATCCCTCTCTACATACCTCAAAACAGAATGCACGTGTCATGGTTGATTATATATTTCCTGCCTGTTCTATGTTAAATTTTTGTATATATTGTGTATTAATATTGTTTTTGTATTTTGTTGTACCTGTCAGAGTATTTATATCGGCAGACATTTTGTGCTATGATAGAAACTAAAAGTGTATATTCTGAGTCACTCTGAACAGACCAGACTCCATTTTGTTATTTCAAGTTAACAAAAAGACACTATATTTCTATCTGTAAGCTAACCACTTTCCCAGATCTGAGGAATGCATAGTATATACAAACAAGTAATAAGGAAGGGGGTTGGATAGACTGTCTAAAATGCTAATGGAATATAATCAAATCTAAACCCAGACAATTGTGACAGAGAAGATTAAATAATTTAATATTTAACTGTCTATATATATAAGGTACCATTGTATGGAAAAGGGTAAACTTAGTTCATGATCTGTCATATCAGAAATTATGGCAGGAATTGCAGACGCTAAGTCTGGACAAAACTTTAAGAAACCCTTTGAAATCTGAATTATGACCACTATCTAGATAGGCCAAAATGACGTCAAAATAGCCACCAGGAAAAGTTAACTTTTTCCTGGATAGGTATGTTTAGTGGGACAAGACTGCCCTCTACAGACCAAATAACTAATTTGCGATCTGGAAGATAACCACACCTCTAGTGCTTCTATTGGGTCATCGACTGATGACGTACAGGGAGTCTGGCCCTTTAAAAGTTAAGACAAAGGGAAGATAGATACAGGAGAGGAGGCAGATGCAAGATATGCAAAAGAGAAAAGAGAGGAATTGGAAGTTTGGGGATTCCAACTCGGACAACATCTGAGACTAACATTCTACTCCTAAAACTCTAACACTTAGAATTTACTGACTTTCTAACCAACACCTCCATGCAGAGAGACTACCAATCGGATGAAATATCTACTCAACTGGTAATTATACTGGTTTCATTTAATTAAATTAAATTAATTAAAATGTATTAATACCATTATATATGACTGGATAAAGCACAGTCAGATTTCCATATTAAGAAATCTTAGTTAACTAAGAATATATAGTTATAAACATTCCATTCTGCAGGTGGAATTAAGAATAATTATATATTGATGTGGTATTATCACGTGTTAGCATACCGCTGTTTTTATCCAGGTGTATTGATTTGCTCTAAATTAAGATAGATATCTTTTAGACAAATTAAAATCACACTTTATATAATGATAAGGAATTCTTTCTACTTATGAATGTTTTAAGAAATGACTTAATAGAACTGGTTTTAAATATTTGGCACATTTAAATACACTTAAGAATAGATCTTAACTACCTAGGAATCACAGCTATTTAGAAGGGTTATTCTAACTGTCACCACCTTTAAACTTTCACGACCTTAAAAGCTTGCACTCTCTGAGGAATTCTATTTCTCTGTAGCCCGAAAAGTTTTACTTTCAGTAGTCTGTGTTAGGAATGGTAATAAATAGGAGATACTTGACAGATAGTACTTTATTTTAGCCAATTTAAAGCACCGTGAAAATACCCATTTCTTTGTATTGCATATAATTTTATACTGAATATTCATTGATTATTGTCATGCATGTTACATAATATTATTTGTTAATTAATTTATCATAAATAAAATCTATTTTTATACATTGTGATATTAATTATATGAAATGCATTCCACTTAACACGATAAACGTTCTTTGGGATCTGAGAATTGAATTAGTGGGCAATTCTCAACTGTTTACTATTATTATCCCATAAATATCCCCACATATTGGAGGCACGGTGCTGAGATCGTTTAAGTTGAAATTGTATTTCATATATATAATAATATTGGTGTAATTCATGCAATTTAATCTTGATATAGAAAAGAGTTTTGTATTGAGATTAAATCACTGTATAGAAATATGGCTGAATCTAGCGCTTCATCTCAATCAGAGAATGGGAAGAAGTTAGCGGAAATACAAGGTTTTCCCTTAAGCATCTTATATCAGTATCTAAATATTAAAGTTGATTATCCAGAGTGGATACTCCAAATAAAAAAACAGGTTGATGATTCGATTCATGATAGATTGGCTGATTCACCTATGGTTAAATATCTTAGCCATATAGATGAAGAGTCTACAATGCGATCTGTTACCAAATCATGCCCGTTTTTCATATTGGGTTATTCTATTATGTTAAAAAAGCATAATGAGATAGAACGTAAATTGGACGAGTGTCAGAAAGACCTGGTGCTCGAACAAGGAAGGTTCAAAACTTTGTCTGATGAAAATAATCTCCTTCGGGCTCTAAACTCTGACCTTTTTAATAAACTGGAAAGAATGAGCAAAATGATGGATGATTATGATCAACAGATAAAACAGATACAGATGCAGCTAGATGAATATCAAAAGGGAAGTGAAGGATTACTGGGAAAAGACCCAAGTGATTCTTTTCAATTTCCTGATATTCACACACCAGACCAGGTTTTCATAAAACAGTCTCTAAGAAAAGATGTGAGTAATTCTGAGAAAACACCTGTAGATTCTTGGCAATCTTGGGCAGAACAGTTTAAAAAGACTGTCCTGGCCAAGCTTGACAGAAGGAATCAGATTCAAGGTGATAGGAATGAAAACAGACATGGTTCTGTACACTGGCAGGATTCTGATGCAGATCAGAATTGTGACAGTGAACAAGAAGCTCAGAGTGATGGGAGTGAAAGTGATTGCACTGTCCACTCTGAAGGCCATGTAACTGATATACCATCTGCACTGTTGTACGGGTCTAATTCCTCTTCAGACAGATCACATAGACGTTTACTCAAACACAGAAACAGAGGTCCTAAATCAACGACGCCTGTTTATGAAACGCCAAAGGTCATCAAATTCCTTAAAGAGACTGTCCCACAATTTTCTAGAGGTTCAGGAAACATATCTGAACATCTGGAAAATTATGATAGAGCAATGAATTCATTGGGCATGTATGATGACATTCATAAGAAATGGTTCATTACATGGACCTTTGATTCAATGTGCCGTGTTTATCTAGAAAGTCTTCAAGCTATACAGTTAATGTCCTGGTCCAAGATGAAATATGAAATAATCATGGAATATGGCAAGTATAAAACCATTGCTTCTGCTAAGAAGGCGCTTTATAACTTAAAGTGCCGTCCAGATCAAAGCCCCAGAGAATTTTTAATAATTCTTAAAAATGCATACTCCGTGGCCCAAAGAAAACCCAGGTATGAAAGCACAGACTTCAAAGATCTGTATTTTCATGCCATGCCAGTAAACATACAAATGAATCTCGCAAGAGATTACGATTGTAAGTTACCATTAGAATGGCTAGTCAGTCAGTGCATGAAGTTGTACGCTATACACCATGCACATGACGAAAATCAGCCAAAGGTTAAAAAACCTGGTGATAAAATGGTGTCAGAGACTAAAATTCAGTTAGGTTTAGAAACCCAACAGAAAAAGAGGACCTATTCCGAGGTTTTGAAAACACCAAAACCTCAGAAACAGGAAAACGCAGGAAGCAATTCTGCAAATTCCTCTAATAACTCTGAAAAATCCAATGCCAATGGGAATAAACGCCCCTGGGTAAATAAGAACCAAGGCAATTCCCAATGGAGAAGGAATCCTCAGGGAAATAGGAGATATGGAAACAGAAACAACCAATCTGCTTCCAATAACTCCCATCAGTCTCAGCCATCCCAACCAAATTCTAATGGGCAAAGACAAAACGGCAATGGGGGAAATAATTTGCGTCGTCAGGTTGGTCAATTGACAGACCAGATGGGCAAATTAATGGAGGGAATGACAAAGATTAACGAAGTCTTTGCCAAAAATCCTTTTTTAGGGATAGCTCCAATTGCAGAACTACCTGTGCAACCGCAGCAACAACAACAGGTGCCGCAGCAATAGTAGCCACTGTGACTAAACAGGCTAGGTTATCAGTAGATGTAATGCCTAACCCTGTTTCCTTTCCAGGTACTCATAGTCAAATAAACTATAGTTGTGTTAGAAAACCTATTGCCTATACCGTCACTTCACTTCCGGGTGAAGGAGGCGCGACGTGTTCCTCTGTTTTTTCATTTCAGCCAAAGGCTAAAGTAGCCCCAGCAACCACTAGTTTCCGGGATCCAGACCTGAAAGGGTTAACTGATGAGATGCCGACCACTAGTTCCCGCTTGACAGATCAAGTTATTCCTAAAAAGGATGGGCCTGTGGGTAAGACTGAGCATTCCTCAGTACAGGTAGAAACTACTGCTGTGACCGGTAATGTATGGAAAACAAGTAATATGTTGACACATTCTAAATTCTTATGTGAATTAGAAGAACATGAAGGAAGGTATTACATGTCTGTAGAAATACAGGATTCGCTACCCCAGCCTTTTAAAGGGTTAATAGATACTGGTTCACAAGCCACTATCTTATCCAATACCTACTTCCAGCAGGTAATGGACTTAGCAACGGATAAGCCGAAGCTAAGAGGTTTCCCCAATGCTCTGTTGAGTGTAGGAGGAAATGCCCTTCATGTTATTGGCAATACCTGGTTAAAGTTTAAAATAGGTAACAAAACCTTTAGACACCCGGTGATAGTGGTAGATCTCCCCTATGACCGACTGATTCTGGGTATAGACATACTCAGAAGACTTAACACGATTATTGACTGTGTAAATGGAATTGTATGGTCACAAGCTAAGGTTCCCATAACCTATGAGAAATCACATGTTCAATCTGATCGTAACTGCCATGTGATAGAAGAAAGACCTGACTCGATAGAGGTACATTTTAGGAATAGTCAGTCACCTGACGTGACTATCCTGCAGGTGAATGATGCAATCGCACCTGTAGATGAGCATTCCGTAAGAATTGCTCCAGAGAGGATCCAGAATGTCTCTCTGGAAGGTGATGTTTTAACCATTTCTCTCCACAGGGACTATGTTGAATCTGTAGATCTGGCAGGTCATGCTCAATTCCTTGCCAGAATTGAAAGGGTTAATAACAACTTATTCTTTCCTATTCAAATACATGACTTAGGAAGAAGTAGGAATGCAAAGCTGGACTTACAGAGTGAGAACAGCTATATTAGCAGAAGTCTGTTAAAGCAGATAGCTAATCCTAAAATGATCAGGTATGCTTCCCCACATGACAGGTGGATCCAGAATCTGGATGGCGAATCAGAGAGTCACAATGTGATAGCAAAATGTTTACTATCTATTTCCATCGGAAATAAGACAGTTAAACATTTATTCTTAGTGATAGACGAACCTCGCTATCAGGTTTACGTCGGCAATGATGTCATACATCGCTTTGCCATACACCTTGACCTGATTAATTCCAACTTGTGGACAAGGTTAAAAGGTAATCCTTGTGGATACCTACACGAGGAAAACGCCCTGAAATCAGGACAAATACTCCCATATGCGGTAAGTATCCAAGTTCCTGATGACATAACCATTCCACAGGGGACAAGTAATTTTCTTTTACCCCTACAGGTCAAGGAGGGTCAGAGATTAGAAAACTCTGATGCCCTAATCTGTTTATCCAACAGGATACAACAATTAGGGATGGTGGTAACACATACACCAATGGTAAGTATTGGTAAGAATCCCACCTATATCATGGTCAACAATGTTACACCGAATAGTGTTACTTTACCAAAAGGAACATCATTAGGTCTAGCATTGGATGCTGAGTACTATACATTTGGTTTCCAAAACCAAATTATAGGCCTCATCCCTGAAGAATACTTAACTGAGGAAGAAATTGTCGATCAAATATTCCATTCCTCCCCAGAAGGATTATTCACTATCCTATCTGTATATCCCTTCAATGTTGAAGAAGGCTCGTGTAAAATCGAAGAAGCATCTATCACCTTCGATCATCCGCTCAATGAGCAGGAATCACAAGAGTATCACGACCAAAGAGAAAAGGTAAGTCAACACGAACTGACCTAACTTCTAGGCTTGAAGAAGCTTATGAGATAGGCCAGCCTGAAATCTTTCCAGGATTTCAGGGAAGGCTAGAAGAGCAAATATCTTTAGCTGACGGTTGCTCCAACGATGCTGAGCGGCAACAGCTAAAGGAAATCCTTTTGGAATTCCAAGATATTTTTGCCAAAGATTCCTACGACTGTGGATTAACTAACCTCCACGTAGCCAGAATACAAACTGATCCAAATTTACCACCTGTATTTATCAAACAATATAGACTCCCATTAGCGTCATATGATGGTCTACAAGACATCATTCAGAATTTAAAGGAAAGGGGCATTATACGTCCAGTGCACAGTTCGTATAATAATCCGATCTTGGGGATTCTGAAACCTAATGGACAATGGCGTTTATGCGCTGACTTACGACAGCTAAATAAACGCGTCTATATGTCTGGTTGGCCAACACCATACATAGACCAATGTTTGGTACAAATGCAGGGATCCAAAATATTCACTGCCATTGACTGTGCGCAGGGATATTGGACTGTACCAGTCCATAATGAAGACCAATACAAATTGGCCTTCACATTTGGAAAGCAGCAGTATACCTGGACCCGTATGCCTTTCGGTTATATAAACTCTGGTCATGAATTCGCTGTGTTCATGCATAAAGCTATGCCTGACGCACTCGAGAGAGGAACGTTATCATATGTCGACGATGTCTTGCTGAAAAGCACTTCCTTTGATAAGCATATCTTAGAGATTAGACATGTTCTCACTCAGTTAAGAGAGGCAGGGATTAAACTGTCTTTACAAAAGGCGCAATGGTGTCGCACCCATGTCAATTTCCTCGGACATGAGGTAACTTCTGAAGGATTAAATCCCCAGAGGAAGAAGGTTGAAGCTGTAATTAAGGCTAAAACACCTTCAAACATCAGGGAATTAAGATCGTTCCTTGGTATGACTAACTACTCCCGTAAGTTTATAGATAACTATGCAGAAATAACTAAACCACTCTTACACCTGCTTAAAAAGGAAACTACCTGGAACTGGGGGGAGCCTCAGGACCAAGCGGTAAGTGAACTGAGGAGGAAGCTCACTCAGGCACCCTGTTTAGCATACCCAGAGGGGGGTAAACCCTTCTATCTGGAGACAGGTTATACCGATTTAAGCATCAGTGCTGTTCTGTATCAGAAGCAGGACAGTTTAAACAAAGTTATTGCATATGCTAGCAAGACTTTGTCACCTGTTGAAGTTAAATTCAACACGTGTGAGAAGGCGTTATTATCGACTGTCTGGGCACTACAAAATTTTCGTAGCTATATCCAAGGTGAGAAAATAATTGTAGAAACAGCTCACCAACCTCTACAGTATCTGCAGAGTGAAAGAATTAGAGACGGTAATCTCTCTAACAGTCGGATTACTGCATGGACTCTATCCTTACAGGGATGGCCGTTAGAAGTCCGTTATAAACATAATAAGAGAAGCCCAGTTGCCCAAGGTTTAGCAGAATTACATGACTGTACTGCTCCATCTCTGGATGATAATGACACCGGAGATGACTTCCTAGAAGAGCAATTGCTATCTCCTTATAAAGTTTATGACGAGGAATACTGTCGACCACTACCGTGGGTATACATTGATGGTTGTTCATATCACCACGTCGTTGGTGCTGAACGGAAGTTAGTTGCAGGTATCGGAATCGCCTGGACAGGTGATTATCCCAATGTATCTATAGGATACAATATTGGTCCCAAAAGCAGTCAGATAGCCGAACTCTGTGCAGTATATAAGACCATTCAAATGGCAATAGAATATGGTATCAAAGAATTTGTTATTATAACTGATTCCAACTATGTTCGCAACAGTTTCGTCGAATATCTGCCTAGCTGGAAACGTAACCAAATGCTGAAAAGCAATAACAAACCTGTTAAACATGGGAAATTGTTTTGTAAAATCGATGAACTGGTTAAGGAAAATGGTTTATCCATATATTGGAAGAAAACCAAAGGCCATTCTAAAATAGAAGGTATTGATAAGGATGGTAATGACTTAGCCGATTCACTGGCAAAACAAGCTGCCATCAATGGTGAAACCCTAAACATTGATGATCTTATGGGTTCAATTCATGTTGAAGCCATAACTAGACGACAGGCTAGAGATAATGCCGACTTAAACGTCGTGCAATGGAGTCAAGAAGCTCCTAGTGAGGACCTGATTACTAGTCAAAAGAATGATCCCGTCATAGGCATATTCTATAGACATATAGAAGACCCTACTGCCAATCCCATCACAGATGAGGATTGCAAAGATAATGAAGATTTACGAATCTTGATGAGATATAAAGTCCAATTTAGTATCATGGATGGGTTACTGGTCAGAACTTCTAAACATGGTATACAACAATGGGTAGTCCCAACTGTATACAGAGGGTTAATGCTCCAACACGCACATGATGCACCTACATCTGGGCATCGTGGTGATAAGATCACATATGAGATATTGCGTGATTATGCATATTGGCCACACATGTTAAGGGATGTTAAGACATACTGTCAGGGATGCTTGATTTGTCCGCAATATCAACCCCATGGTCCAACCCATCGTGCACCACTTCAGAAGAGGGGGGTGTCATTACCCTGGTCTGATATTCAAATTGACTTTATAGGTCCTGTAACAAGATCTTCAAGAGGTAACAAATACATGTTAACCGTTACATGTATGTACACAAAGTGGATAGAATGTTTGCCTTGTAAAGAGAACACGAGTACCGTGTGCGCCACTTTGTTGATTAACCATGTCTTTTCCAGGTTCGGTCTGCCTCAAAGAATTGAGTCAGACAGAGGTAGTCATTTTACCAGCGAAGTAATGGCTAAGATGTGGAACATTCTAGGTGTTAAACGAAAGCTACATATTGCATACCGCGCTGCGTCTAGCGGGGGGGTAGAGCGATATAACCAGTCTATCGTTAATATTCTGAAGAAATATGTTAAGGAGTCTGGTAAAGACTGGGACATTAAATTGCCCCTAGTTTTAATGGCGATTAGAGCTACACCTAGCACTGCTACCAAATTGTCACCTTTTGAATTGATGACAGGAAGAAAGATGGTTTTACCACAGCATTTACTATATCGTACTTCGGATCATAACTTGATCAATGCTGCCACTACGCATCAGTATATCGAAGATTTGCGCAAGCATTTACAGCATGCGTTTGCTTTTGCCCAAAAGAATCTAGAAAAAGCAGCGACAGGGGTTAAGACCTATTACGATCTAAAAACCACGAAAAAGGAATATGAGATAACAGATCAAGTCTATCTGTATAACTTTGCGCGAAATCAAGTAAGGAAAATAAATTTTTACCTTCTTGGAAAGGGCCATATGTCATCATTGACAAAATTTCCCCAGTAGCGTACAAGATAAAAATTCCTAAGGATGGTGATTTTATTGAAAAGTGGGTTCACATTAACCAGTTGCGTGCTTGTCATCCTAAATCTCAATTAAGGATTATAGGTGTGGATTCAGACGCAGAAGGGTGAACGACTAACCTGGATGAATGCTTGATTCACGTGGTATAGTATGATGTGAAATGTTGTGATGTGCCATGATCTCATGTACGTTCATGTCATTAACCATTTCCTTGCCATCCAATAACTACATTTTATAAGCAGGTTACTAGCTTGTTTAACTGCTATAGGCAAATTGCTGAAGAGTCAGTAATAAATGTAGTGAGGGATGAAGTTATAAAAATAGAATTAGACAGAATACATATGTTGATGAATCGTAATAATGTGTTGTCCTAGGCCAAGTGATGTCACACTGTTATAAGTTTGTATGCTTAACAAACCTTGAATCATTAGTAGATAAGTCTGAAACGAGTTCCTGATCCGTGACTGTCGAAAGATGTCCAAGAAGGATGTGGCGTGTTTCTGGATCGTACTGCTCCTGTGCCAAGAGCTACGGACCGACCCGATCGCAGGGATGGGACCATCCTCCGGCATCCTGATTCAAGAGACACCAGGGTTCATCTTAACAGAGAAGAGGATCCTGACCCGACGTGTGTTCGTCAGCTTGGACCCCAAGATTTCCATCGAGAAGGCATACAACATTTCATCGATGCAGCTTCCTGAGTTACAGACTTGGTACCAGATGCACCTCCAAAGAGCACAGGACCGTGTGCGAAACATCTTGGAGCAAGCCCGGAAACCATTTGTATCCAGTTCTATTCCGATGAGCAACCGACCCAAAAGGTTCCTCACCGCTATAATTGTTGCATTAGTTTGTGCCACTGTCGGTGCAGTTGTCGCAACTGGAATGTCTGCAGCCAACTCTATTACTGTCCAAAAGCTGGATATGGAAATCTATGCGCTAAAGCAACACATTAACGATATTCATCAGGTGATACAACAGCAAAGAACACTTCTCCAAGACGTGTTAACTATTGTGGAAGACACAGTTGTTACAACAAATTTGCATTCGGAGTTAATTGCCAAAACCACTGAGTTGCACCAAAGTCATGACTTATTCAAGCGTGAACTTTTATTTCTGCATGACCCAATATTGTTCCACACACTTGCTTTTCTCGACGAAGTGCAAACTGGAATGATCGAATTGGCAGGGGGACGCATACCTCTGTATTTTGTATCCAAGGATATTGTTCATGCGATGCTTGCCAATGTGGATGGAGAGACAATTGAGCCTATGCAATTAAATCTGGCCTTTGAGATGGGGAGCGCTATACCTCTCTTAATTGATCCGGAACGTATGGAGATTTGCTTTTTATTGACCATACCATATGTAACTCCCAAAGACATTTTTCAAATGAAAATAATGTACTATGTAATAATGATATTATGGTTGATTGTACTAAGTGTAAAGTTCAAAACTTTTACAGGTACAAATATATACAAAAATGTTCATTCCACGCACGGGCCTATGTTAGAAATGATGTGATTGCACAATATGTCTGGTAACTTCTATAGTGCTTATTCATAAGCTAAATTAATTTTGGCTATGAAATGCACTAAAGGGGGGTTATGTCAGAGTATTTATATCGGCAGACATTTTGTGCTATGATAGAAACTAAAAGTGTATATTCTGAGTCACTCTGAACAGACCAGACTCCATTTTGTTATTTCAAGTTAACAAAAAGACACTATATTTCTATCTGTAAGCTAACCACTTTCCCAGATCTGAGGAATGCATAGTATATACAAACAAGTGATAAGGAAGGGGGTTGGATAGACTGTCTAAAATGCTAATGGAATATAATCAAATCTAAACCCAGACAATTGTGACAGAGAAGATTAAATAATTTAATATTTAACTGTCTATATATATAAGGTACCATTGTATGGAAAAGGGTAAACTTAGTTCATGATCTGTCATATCAGAAATTATGGCAGGAATTGCAGACGCTAAGTCTGGACAAAATTTAAGAAACCCTTTGAAATTTTAAATTATGGCGCTATAAAGATAACGCAAAATGACGTCAAAATAGCCACCAGGAAAAGTTAACTCTTTCCTGGATAGGTATGTTTAGTGGGACAAGACTGCCCTCTACAGACCAAATAACTAATTTGCGATCTGGAAGATAACCACACCTCTAGTGCTTCTATTGGGTTATCAACTGATGACGTACAGAGAGTATGGCCCTTTAAAAGTTAAGACAAAGGGAAGATAGAGAACAGAGACAATATACAGGAGAGGAGGCAGATGCAAGATATGCAAAAGAGAAAAGAGAGGAATTGGAAGTTTGGGGATTCCAACTCGGACAACATCTGAGACTAACATTCTACTCCTAAAACTCTAACACTTAGAATTTACTGACTTTCTAACCAACACCTCCATGCAGAGAGACTACCAATCGGATGAAATATCTACTCAACTGGTAATTATACTGGTTTCATTTAATTAAATTAAATTAATTAAAATATATTAATAGCATTATATATGACTGGATAAAGCACGGTCAGATTTCCATATTAAGAAATCTTAGTTAACTAAGAATATATAGTTATAAACATTCCATTCTGCAGGTGGAATTAAGAATAATTATATATTGATGTGATATTATCACGTGTTAGCATACCGCTGTTTTTATCCAGGTGTATTGATTTGCTCTAAATTAAGATAGATATCTTTTAGACAAATTAAAATCTGCTTATATAATGGTAAATTCTCTTATGGATGGTTTTAAGAAAATGACTAATGAACTGGTTTAAATGTTATTTTATTTAAAATACATAAGAATAGATCTTAACTACCTAGGAGATCTAGCCAGCATTGAAAGGGTTATTCTAACTGTCTGCTAAACTTTATGACCTTACGCTGCACTCTGAGGAATTCTGTTCTCTGTGTGAAAAGTTTTACTTTCAGTCTGTGTTAAAGATGGTAATAAATAAGTCTTGACAGATAATGCTGTTTTAGCCATTGAAACGTAATACCCATTCCTTTGTATTGCATATAATTTTATACTGAATATTCATTGATTATTGTCATGCATGTTACATATATTATTATTAATTATTGGTTATCATAAATAAAAATCTATTTTTATATAAACTGTGAATATTAATTATATGAAATACATTCCACTTAACACGATAAACGTTCTTTGGGATCTGAGAATTGAAATAGTGGGCAATTCTCAACTGTTACTATTATTATCCCATAAATATCCCCACATACCTAATGTAACAATGCAATGATTTGTGGACCCAGGACATACTTGAAAACGAGAGAAATCTCAATGTATCTTTCCTGGTAAAATATTTTATAAATAATAATATTGCACTCTCCTGCAATTATTTCAAATTTGAGGGCAACTTTTACTTGCAGACATCCGGAACTGCTATGGGGGCAGCCATGGCTCCATCATATGCTAACATCTTCATGTCCTGGTTCGAACAAGAATACATTTTCTCCACATATGCGAACAAAATACTGAAGTATTTTAGGTTTGTCGATGACATCCTTCTTCTTTGGACTACCACACATCAGGAATTGGAAGAAATGGTTCAACAACTAAATACGTTACCCACAACTATAAAATTTACGCTCAACCACAATCAGGATCAAATCCACTTTTTGGATGTTTTACTGTACAAAAAACAGGTGATATTGGCTACACTCTATACCGTAAAGATACAGACAGAAATACTATTCTATCAGCCTCTAGCTTTCACCCCCAACACCTTAAAGACTCTTTACCTATCTCACAGTTTCTTAGAGTTTTTCGCTACAACAGCGATATCTCTAATATGAACGCTCAGCTGGCTGAAATGAAACAACGGTTTATTGACAGTGGCTATGCCCCCCATACACTGGAGATTGCTCAACAAAGAGCTAGAGACCGTTTTGAATCCAGCACGAATATTAAAACCACGAAGACACAATTATTCCTCCCTATGACTTATCATACAGCAACTTCAAAAATAAAAAATACTATAAACAGACACTGGGACGTACTGCAAGCCGATAAGATTCTTCCTCCGATCTTCCAACAACGTCCTATGATCAGCTATAAAAGAAACCGCAATCTGAGAGACTTACTAGTTCGCAATGATCCTACACAATGCTATACTAAGAAAACATGGATCAAAAAGAAGGGCTGCTTTAAGTGCACGGGCTGTGTGACTTGTAGCCATATGCTGACCAGTACCTCCTTTTCCCACCCACATACGGGTAAAAGGATACCGATTAATCATTACATCACTTGCACGACGGATCACGTAATTTACATGGTGACATGCCCATGCGGACTATCGTATGTTGGGAAGACAGACCTCACATTACGTGACAGAATGAGGGGACATCGCTCTGGTATAATGACGGCATATCGAGACCAAACCACGGAGAAACCAGTAGCCAAACACTTTCTGGCTATGCAGCATCACCTTCCTACGCTCAAATTTATAGGCATTGATCATGTACCTCCTCTAGTTCGAGGTGGCGACCGATCCAAAATGCTTCTACAGAGAGAAGCTTACTGGATCCACCACTTGGACACGGTCACACCCAAAGGTTTAAATGAAAACATCATTTATTCCATGTTCTTATGATTATTCGTGTACTCTTATTTTATGTCCATATACAGTATATCTACCCTGTGGTGATGCCTATTATTGCATTATTATATACATCTTTACATTTTTTGTCACCAGCATAGCTTCAGATAGTTCCATTAGTCAGTTATTTTTTATTTCCTCCATTAAGATACCTGTAGATTTCATGTTTCTTTTTTATGATTATTTTTCATTACTTCCAGTTATTTGTATTCTATGCCCAATTATTTGTTGTTGTTCAGATATATTCTGTCCTACTACTTCAGTATGCACCAGTTCCATTCTGCAACTACTTTTTGTTTTGTTTTTTTTGTAGGTAGCAATCATACGCTACCCACATTATTGTTTATTACATATATTTTCCACATTTTTACAATATTTCCATTTGACTTAGACTATTAGATTTGTTGTCTATTGATTATTGCTGGTGCTTTATCCTATTTTAACACTTGGTATGTAGGGAGTCCTCATTTGCTATTATCTTGACACTGCATGTTAGATACCATTTATCTAAGAATTTCAACTTTTATTATTATTTACTGTAACTTATTTTACGCACTTGGCAATTATTTTTCATTGTGCTATTGTCTTGATACTACAAGTTAGATATTATTTTTAGACCATCTATATTTAGAGACTTGTCCAGCATCCTTCTATGATTAACTTGTAGCTTTCTTTAGCATTAGATTGCCAATTTTTTTAGCGGTTTATATGTATGGAGAAATCATATGCTACAGTCCCATTTGTGAGATCACGTTAGATCAATTTATTGGCTTTGTTTATTTATGGATTTTTTTCATTAGCTCTGGTCTCTGTATCTATTTCTCCGTTGTCATGTTTTTTGGATTACTTAAGATGCAGCTGATTCTTTATGTTTCCTCAGCCTCCCTCGTAGGTTTCTAGGCTATATATTTAGTTTAGATGTTTTTTCATTATAAAAAGCCCGTGTGTCACTTGGTGTTTATGTCATATTGTCTAGCATCAAATTATTATATTACTAATTTTGCATATTATACACTTTAGTGGATATTATTTATAAGATAATTGTATAATTTTGTATACAGTATTTTTGTATATACTCTGCTCTTTTGCTTTGATTTTATTTATGATGTCAGGTATTCGTTTTTCACAGTTTATTATATTTGTTTGTTGTGTGCTCACACGTTTATCACTCAGGTTTTCACATGACACTTCACAGCACTTGCTGCTTATGTACTCGATTCTCCTGACTTTTGTATCATTCACTTTGTATTGGTAGTTTACACTACCCACTCCTTGCTTCACACTGATCTACTTGCTCCCGGCATAGGATTTTTCTACTTTGTGTATTGTTGCCTTGGCAACCACTGTTTCTCTGTACGATGCCCTGATCACGTGACGTTGTGTGCAGCTTCCATTCACTTCCGGGTTCTAACGGGCAGACACACTCCTCCTCACTTCACCATTGGGTAAGTGTTTATTCACTTAGATTTGTATTTTATATATAAACACTTTCTTGTCATGTATTATATGATCTTGAAAAAGACCCGGCAGGGTCGAAACGTCGATTGATTTTTTTTGTACATCACAGATGATTTATTAAAGCACCAGTTTTCCTATTAAGTAGAAGACCTGTGAGTGCATTTTGATTTTTATTTTTGTTTATATATATATATATTTTTTTTTTTTTACTTTATTTATTTTTAAAACTTTTTTTCACCAGCAGGGGGACTGCCTGTCACTCACTCTGCAAAGATGCTACTCATTGAATCCGGCCACTATCCTGCCACTTTCCGGCGGGGAGTGCCACACTATTGGTACAGTCTTGACATAGATACTGAAGTTTTCATTGAACTACAGGTAAAGAAGCCAGCAGTTCCACACGATGAACAACCTTTGCCCTACAAACATTGCACCATGTGGTTCAGAAATACCCCAGGACCAGATCCACACTTTGAAGAGGGGCTATTCAGACTGGTGGAGGTACGGCTCATCATGACAGACCTGTTTTGTGACTCTAAGGGAAACAGTGTGATCCTGATCCAGTTACCCATTGAAATAACACACATGTACCATCACTGGGAGGTGGCTGTTTCTCATGTTTCATTCAGTAAGGGTACTTGGCCCTTTAGCAAAGACATGGAGCACTGCAAGTCAAGAACAACTCTCAATGGAAGGAGTCACCAAGAGAACTGTGAATTGCAAAACAGTTAGCTACCCTCAGTATCACACAGAGATAAGTGAAGACACCCCTTCTACAGAGCAGGGTCCAGATGCTCCACATGATTGCTTTGAACAGATGAAAATGGAGACAAAACATCTTCCAACAGTGCATGAAGTTGCTCTGCCAGATCCTGACTTCACCCTGTTCGTGGATGGCTCTAGGTTTGCGGATGAGAAGGGAAGGTACCATACTGGATTTGCGGTCACTACAGAAGATCAGGTACTTCAAGCATCTCCACTCCCCTCATCCATGTCTACTCAAGAAGCTGAGTTAACAGCCCACACAGTAGCATGCAAAATGTCTGAAGGAAAGCATGCTAATATTTACACTGACTCAAGATATGCGCTGGGTGTAGCACATGATTTTGGTTTAATCTGGAAAATAAGAGGTTTCCTCACAGCAACTGGCACACCAGTCAAACATGGTGCAGCTATCAAAATGTTGATGGATGCCTTACCACTTCCTGAAGAAGTGGCCATACTGAAGGTAAAGGCTCACAGAAGATTTCATTCAGAAGAAGCACATGGCAACTACTTAGCTGACCAGGCCGCCAGGGATGCTGCACGTAAGTCAAGGGAAGTGGATAGAAACTTCTATATACACTATGCAAACTCTACCCACAGACCTCAAATTCCTGAGGGAGCAACAAAAAGCCACCACCCCACAAGAGAAACAAAGTTGGAGAGAAAACGGGGCAACCCTTCAGAATGGAGTATATACCAGCCTTCTTAAATTCTCCCTACCCAAGAAGATGCACCCAGCAGTGGTCCAGTGGGCCCATGGAGCAGCGCATTTGTCCAAACACCTCATGAACTCTCTGACTGACAAATATTTTGAAGCACCCAGAATTACTACACTGACCAAGAATTATTGCAGTTCCTGCACTATTTGTGCCAAATGTAACCCAGAGAAAATGATAAAATCTCCTCCGAAACACGTGGCGAAGCCACATTATGCTTTTCAAAGGATCCAAATTGAACATATCCAAATGCCAAAGAGTGGCCGGTATGAATATGCACTAGTCATAGTGGACATGTTCTCAGGATAGCCAGAAGCCTTCCCTGTCACCAACATAACTGCCAAGACCACAGCCAAACGTCTACTCACTGAAATCGTCTGCAGATATGGAGTTCCTGAGGTGATAGAAAGTGACCAGGGTACAGCCTTCACTGCACTACTGACCAAAGAGATCTGGGCAGCACTGGGGGTGACCCTTGCATTCCACACACCACAGAGTAGTGGTAAGGTAGAACGCATAAATGGCACTCTGAAAGCCAGAATGCTTAAGATGGCCCAAGAAACTAACCTGTCCTGGCCAGAAAGTCTTCCCATAGCTTTGTTTAGCATGAGGTATACACCAAGAGGGAGATTTAGCCTGTCCCCATATGAGATTTTGTTTGGTTTAGCTCCCAGGCTAGGCTGTTGCTTTCCTCAGCAGCTCCAACTCCAGTCAGATGCAATGGTAGATTATGTAACTGCTCTCTCTCAAGCCTTGACCAAAATCCATGCACAAGTGTTTTCTTCCATTCCAGATCCAGAGTCTGATACAGGCACCCACAAGTTACTTCCTGGTGATTGGGTTCTGGTTAAGAAATTCCTGAGGAAACACACTCTTGAGCCGAGATTTGATGGTCCATTTCAAGTCCTCCTAACCACGTCTACCTCAGTAAAACTGGCCGGGAAGAATTCTCGGATACACGCCTCTCACTGCAAGAAAGTTCCAGCTCCAGAGAAAGCAAATTTTGCTGAGCCATGAGCTTCCTGTACCTTTCCCTGCTGCTAGGCCTATTAGAGGCCCAATAAGTTGCAATTACCAAAGAAAATCATGTTTACACATTTTGGTATAATTCTTCAAACACACATGTAGCCACGTTTACATTTGATTACTGTGATATTGTCTCTTGTGTATTTCCACAATCTTTACAATCAACAATATACAAAGACATACCTAATAAAAAGGACCCATACATTTGTGTGACTGGTGACCATTGGGGACAACACTGTAGTTCTTGGAAAGCGGCGGGTTGGAACACAGGCCGACTATGGGGCTACAAACCACAGACTGCCTTAAATAGGGTGGACAGAAATGGGAAATCCTTATTACACAGAATGACTATAGGCAAACCAACAGGGTCAACTCCAGTGAAGCTTACCTTAAATATAGAACACCCTAGCCCTGAAGACACTGGTGAGTACGTAATGGGAATGTACTGGAGAGGGGGTGGTTCATACAATAAATTAGGGACTTTCTATTTACAAGACATGTACAAATCACATGAGTGGGTAGACACAAGACACATGACTGTTAACCCTCTCAAACCGCATAGCAAGACTCTTGAGGACTTAGTAGTTATGACTAACCCTACATTTGAAGACATTGTAGTAGAGACTGGCTTTTCAGACACTAACCTATGGCTTGAATGGATGAGATATAATGCCAATTCTCATAATAAAACTGTTATGTTTGTGGTGGGGCCAGACCCCATCTGGGTACAGTGCCTCTAAACCTACCTTCTGACGTTGAAATATGTTTCCTAAGTTTTTATGTACAGTCAAAAAGCAATTCATCAGCATGTAAATCATGGAAAAAGGTATACCCACTAACCCAAAAGGATATTATTATTATGATATTTATATAGCGCCATCAAATTCCGCAGCGCTCAAGCCACCTGATGGAGTCACGGTGTATCCAGGTAATTACACTTGCTACACCATGCACAGTGACACAGGTACATTTGTGGGAAAATTCCCCTCTGGATATTGTGTTACTTATCGAGAGCCTCTGGTTGCCCTGTTAACAAATCAAGTTAGATCCCTGGGAGACATTTATTGGCTATGTGGAGACATGCAACTCAGATCCAGATTGACAGGCCTATGGTGGGGAGAGTGTACCTTGGTCAAAATTATTATGCCCATACACATAATATCAGATAATCACCAGGGTGCTCTGGATTCACCACACACATATTTTAGAGTAAAAAGAGACACTTCTGTAAAGGGCAGCTTTGACCCTCACATATATATAGATGCCAGGGGGGTGCCAAATTAATTTGAAGCAAGAGATGAAGTTGCGGCAGGATTCGAATCCATGATTACGCTCATCACTGCTAATAAAAATGTAAATTGGATCAGCTACATCTATTATAACTAGCAGCGCTTTGTCAACTATACCAGAGATGCACTCCAGGGCCTGGCAGAGCAGTTGCAGGCTACCTCCCAAATTACCTTTCAAAATAGAATGGCCCTACATATGATACTGGCAGAAAAAGGAGTGTGTAAAATACTCCCGGACACCATGACACACTTTATTTTCATCCCAGACAACACAAGCCCCAATGGGAAGGTAACCATGGCAATTGAAAAATTGGAAAGTCTCTCAGAAGAATTAAAAAGGAATTCAAGGGTCACTAATTCATGGGACAGGTGGTTTGGATGGTTGAATGGTTGGCAGAAGGTGCTCTTCCAGGTAGGAATGGCTGTTTTGTCAGTGATGCTTCTCTTTGTTATCTTTGTCTGTTGTGTGCTACCATGTGTTCAGAAATACCTACAGAAGACAGTTGACCAGACCATTGACCGCACCACCCCAACTTTCCTTCACCAGGAGATTGATGACGAAAACTGTGATACACCTCATACAGCTCTACAGTCCCACCATACCAAATATACAACTACTTCCCTTTAGGGAGAGCATAGGGACAGCGTCTGTCTCTACGGGCAAAGCCTGTTGCGGGAGAGGTAGTGGGCAAGCCACTACTGGTCCTAGCGCAGCGGAAGTGTTCGAGAGGTCTGTTAGACAGATGTGATAGGGATAGTAGGTAGTTGTTTTAAATTGTAAATAGTCATTTTAAAGGGGGACTGTTGTGGACAGAATATTAACTTTAGTAAAATGCCTATTTACGCTGTACATCTGTGTTCATTATTAACTGCTCAAACTGGCTGCTAGGAGTTACCCCTCCCCTCCTGTGTTCATTAACTGTTCAAACCGGCTGCTAGGAGATCCCCCTCCCATCGACTAACCACCCAATTAACCCCAATTAACAAGATGGCGCTGGAATGTGGAGGAGAACTGCATGATGACAGTGACATCACACCCTGTAGGCTGTGCATTAGATGAACCACTTAACACCTAACCAATTGTTGATGTATTTTCTAGGGATCGACCGATATTGATTTTTTAGAGCCGATACCGATACCGATATTCAGATATAATTTGCCGATATTCTGTACTATTTCTAAAGGTAAATGCACAAAATATACATGCCATGTGTAGTGGATGCAGTGTGTTTAGACAGGGGAGCTGTGTGTGTTTTTTTGTAGTGTGTGTAGTGGATGCAGTGTGTGTTTGTGTAGTGTGTGTGTGTGTAGTGGATGCATTGTGTGTGTGTTGTGGATGCAGTGTGTGTTTGTGTAGTGGATGCAGTGTGTATTAGTCTAGTGTGTGTAGTGGATGCAGTGTGTATTAGTGTAGTGTGTATATAATGAAAGCAGAGTGTTTGTGTAGTGTGTGGGTAGTGTGCGTAAAGTGAATGCTGTATATACTAAATGCAAAGTGTGTGTGTATATAATGAATGCAGAGTGTGTGTGTATTTGTGTGGTGTGTGTGTAGTGAATGTAGTGTGTTTATATAATGCAGAGTGTGTGTGTTTGTATAGTGTGTGAATATAATGCAGTGTGTTTGTGTGGTGTGCATTATATAAACACACTACACAAACACACTGCATTATATACACACACTATGCAAACACACTGCATTATATAAACACACTACACAAACACACACTGCATTATATACACACAATACATTATATAAACACACTACACAAACACACTGCATTATATACAGTGTGTTTGTGTAGTGTGTGTGTATATAATGCAGTGTGTGTATATAATGCAGTGTGTGTAGTGTGTGTTTGTATAGTGTGTGTATATAATGTAGTGTGTGTATTTGTGTGCATTGTATACACACACTATACAAACACACTGCATTATATACACACACTATACAAACAAACACTGCATTATATACACAGTGTGTTTGTGTAGTGTGTGTGTATATAATGCAGTGTGTGTGTATATAATGCAGTGTGTGTGTAGTTTGTGTGTATATAATACAGTGTGTGTTTGTATAGTGTGTGTATATAATGCAGTGTGTGTATTTGTGTGCATTGTATACACACACACACTATATTATATACACACACACTATACAAACACAAACATTGCATTATATACACAGTGTGTTTGTGTAGTTTATGTGTATATAATGTAGTGTGTGTGAGGGGGCATTTTGTATTAATTTTTTTTTTATATTTAATTAATTATTATTTTTGTTGTCCCCCCTCCCTGCTTGTTACTTGGCCAGGGAGGGGGGATATAGCAGTCCCTGGTGATCCAGTGGCATTGGCTGAGCTGTGGGGGGCGGGCAGCAAGCGCTTACTCACCTCCCAGCAGCTCCTCCAGCGTAAGTCTATTGGTAGAATATAGAGGGAATGACAAGGTAAGTAAGTGAGAATTTAAACAGCTGTCGGAGCATGCTATAAATTTAGAGGGAACCTGGGTGGGTTGAGCTGAGTAGAATTGTAGAGGCTTGCAGTAGAGATGGTATGGAAAATGGGCCTATGGAGGGAGAAGAGATAAACAGTTATATTAAGATATTTACAGTTAGGAGTGGCAAGCATGGGGGGGAGGAGTGGGAGAGGACAAAAAACTGTTGTGATTTAGAATTTTGCCAATCAAATCCTAACAGCCAAATTTTTAATTAATGCATGTAGCTGCAAGTACAGGATACTATAGTAGTACACTATAGATAACAATGAAAACATTATTATAAAGAAGTAATCTAGTGGCAAAGGTGAAAGAGATCCGGTGGAGCATCTTCTGAATTCCAAATTGGTACCTTAAAGCTGTAGCGTTCAATTGTAGAGGCTTGCAGGAGGGATGGTACGGAAAATGGGCATTAAAGCTGTAGCGTTCAATTGTAGAGGCTAGAGAGTAATAAAGGCAGGAGTTCCATGTGTCGTAGCGCCAACTTTTGAAACTGTTGTCAAATTATTAAATAAGCGGAAATTGTTATGAGGGTGGGCACATTCTTATAATATACCTGCCCACCTTCTCGGGACAGGGCTGTGCAGGGAAGAGAGCGGGTGCTCAGGGGCCAACCTGAGTGACATCCTGCTCCCTCCATGCACAAGTCACTGCTAAAACCCAGTCCCCTTCTACATCTGCCAGAAAATGTTAAAATGGGGGACATGTCCATGGAATACCCAGTATCTGCTGAGACAGTACCCCAAAACATAGGACTGTCCAGGCAAATATGCTAAACTATTGGCACCTATAGGTAAAGCTTAGGTTGTTTGAGTGCTTTTAAGAATCCATTTAAACACTCCCAGGTGACCTCAGCTGCCCTTTACAGACAGACCTCATGACCGCATCAAAAGAGCATCCTAATACACATTTCAAGGAAATGCAATGTGTGTCACAATACTCAGAAAACACTCACTTCCTGTATGGTTAAGAAAAAAAATAAAAAATACTTCTATAGAAATTAAATAAAAAGCACAAGGCGTATTTACTGTATTATAATCCAAACCATTTCCTTAGCACCGGATACTTCGCGATATTATTCGCCTGTAGTAACCAGGATCACTATAAACTTTAGAACCCATCAAAGCCAGAGGATTGTGAAAGGTGGCAATGGGATGTGAAGACCTGTCCGTGAGCTGTCTGTAATGGCTGCATTCAGAGGTCACATATCTAACAGCCATTAACGCCTTCTTATTGCAAATCCCCAGTCTAATGACACTATCAGGCTCGCTGCCAGCAGTTAATATGGCCGCTACAGCCTCTCTGCGGGTCTGTGAGCGACAGCGACCCCGCTGCCAGCTGTTAGTATGGCCGCTGACCCCCTCAGTGCGGAGACCCGCTGCCAGCTGTTAGTATGGCCGCTGATCCCCTCAGTGCGGAGACCCGCTGCCAGCTGTTAGTATGGCCGCTGACCCCCTCAGTGCGGAGACCCGCTGCCAGCTGTTAGTATGGCCGCTGACCCCCTCAGTGCGGAGACCCGCTGCCAGCTGTTAGTATGGCGGCTGATCCCCTCAGTGCGGAGACCCGCTGCCAGCTGTTAGTATGGCCGCTGATCCCCTCAGCGATGAGACCCGCTGCCAGCTGTTATTATGGCGGCTGATCCCCTCAGTGCGGAGACCCGCTGCCAGCTGTTAGTATGGCCGCTGATCCCCTCAGTGCTGACACTCGCTGCCAGCTGTTAGTATGGCCGCTGATCCCCTCAGCGCTGAGACCCGCTGCCAGCTGTTATTATGGCCGCTGATCCCCTCAGTGCTGACACTCGCTGCCAGCTGTTAGTATGGCGGCTGATCCCCTCAGTGCGGAGACCCGCTGCCAGCTGTTATTATGGCCGCTCCAGCCTCCGAGCGTCTCCGCACTACAGGGGGATCTCCGGAGAGGCGGAGCTATCGCTTATCCTGTCAGAGGCAAATGACTTCTGGCCGCTGATTGGTCGATAGTGTTCGTTTCTGATTATCAGATCTGATCGAGCCAATGGAGCCGCTCCTAGGTGTGTTAGTAACCGGAAGGGGGCGTGGTCAGGGAGGCCGGTGTCCCTCGGTTCGTGTCGTAGATTTTGTGCCGTTGGCCGCTCTGTTCCTGTTTGCCGGTGTGAGGGAGTGAGCGCGGTGAGATGCCGTGTGCGGGAGAGCTGTGAGGCCGGGAGACGCAGCACACACGGAGACACCATGGAGCAGGAGTTCAGGGAGATTGACGATGAGAACCGCTGGAGCCCGCTTTATGTAGTGAGTATAACACAACCAGCACCAGCACTGCCACCACAACCACCACCACCAGCACTGCCACCACAACAACCACCACCACCAGCACTGCCACCACCACAACCACCACCAGCACTGTCACCACAACCACCAGCACTGTCACCACAACCACCAGCACTGTCACCACAACCACCAGCACTGTCACCACAACCACCAGCACTGTCACCACAACCACCAGCACTGCCACCACAACCACCACCACCAGCACTGCCACCACAACCACCAGCACTGCCACCACAACCACCACCACCAGCACTGCCGCCGCCACCAGCACTGCCACCACAACCACCACCAACTTTTGTCCACCACAACCACCAGCACTGTCACCACAACCACCAGCACTGTCACCACAACCACCAGCTTTTGCCACCACAACCACCAGCTTTGCCACCACAACCACCAGCACTGCCACCTACAAGCCACGCCAGCACTGCCACCACAACCACCACCACCAGCACTGTCACCCACAACCACCAGCACTGTCACCACAACCACCAGCACTGTCACCACAACCACCAACTGTCACCACAACCACCAGCACTGTCACCACAACCACCAGCACTGTCACCTGCCAACTGTCACCACAACACCAGCACTGCCACCTACAACCACCAGCACTGCCACCACAACCAGCAATACCACAACCACCACCACCAGCACTGTCACCACAACCACCAGCACTGTCACCACAACCACACCAGCATACCACAACCACCAGCACTGTCACCACAACCACCAGCACTGTCACCCACAACCACCAGCACTGCCACCACAACCACCACCACCAGCACTGCCACCACAACCACCAGCACTGCCACAACCACCACCACCAGCACTGTCACCACCACCAGCACTGCCACCACAACCACCACCACCAGCACTACCACCACAACCACCAGCACTGCCACCGCAACCACCACCAGCACTGCCACCACAACCAGCGCCACCAGCACTGCCACCACAACCAGCGCCACCACAACCACCACTGTCACCACAACCACCACCACCAGCACTGTCACCACAACCACCACCAGCACTGCCACCACAACCACTGCCACAGTGGGGTTGACAGTGCTGTTTTAGAATAGGAAAAACATTGCCTAAGAACAGGTAACAGATATTGGGGTTGATGATACTGATTTAAAGCTTTAAAATTAAAATGAAAAAACAAAACACTTGTCTGATGTATTCCACTTGCCAGAGGGTTAAGGGGTTCAGGGAGGATGGACCGAGAGAAGGATAGGGGTGGCATAGATGGGGTGCTGCAGTGCCATTGGTGGTCAAATCACTGAAGTGGTCATTTTGCTTGTAGTAACCCTTTAATTATTGAAAAAAAACATAAGAGAAATGTAAGCCCTGTGGGGGTGATCTGGACAAGGCCCTTAGACACCAGTATTGTTGTTGGAATTAAAGGACTACTATAGGCACCCCGACCACTTCAGCTCAATGAAGTGGTCTGGGTGCTAGGTCCCTCTAGTTTAAACCCTGCAGCTGAAAGCATAGCAGTCTCCGCGATTCTCACTGTGAAAATCACAGTGAGAAGACGCTGGACGTCCATAGGAAAGCATTAAGTAACGCTTTCCTATGGGAGGTTTGAATGCTCGTGCGGCTGTTGCCGCGTAGAGGGAGGAGAGTGCCCGGCGCTACAGAAAGGTAAGTGGCTGAAGGGGGGCCCTGAGGGTGGGAGTGACCTAACGACCCTATAGTGCCAGCAAAACGAGTTTGTTTTCCTGGCCCTATAGTGATCCTTAAAGACATGGGTCCTCAAACTCCGGCCCCCCAGATGTTGCTGAACGACAACTCCCATGATTCTTTGAATTACATAGATAGCCAGAGGATCATGGGAGTTGTAGTTCAGCAACATCTGGGGGGCCGGAGTTTGAGGACCCATGCTTTAAGAGTTGAAGAACGTGGCTCCAGAAAGTATTATTGAAGGCTTTTCCTACTCTTCATATCTTTAGTGGATTCTGCATTTTAACATTGCCTTTTTAAAAAAATTGCGTGTATTCAACAAGGTTAATATTAATGCATATTGTGACATAAGTGTTTGGTGGTGTGCGGTGACTACATTTCCATTTTTTATTATTGGTATATTTAAGGTATTTAATTTTCCTCTCCTAAGCCCATGTTTAGGGGGGCTTTATCCTCTTAAGATGATTTTGTGTTAA